CCTGTAAGTTTCGGTATCTTGTGTTTTTGTTTGAAAGTATTTTCTAACTTCCCTTGTGATTTCTTCTTTGACCAAGTGATTAAGATTGTGTTATTTAATTTCCATATACTTGTGAGTTTCCCACTTTTTATTGATTTCTGTTTTTCAGTGTGATCAGAAAAGTAACTGTGATTTCAGTCTTTTTAAGTTTATTAACAAATAGTTTTGTGTCATAATATATGGTCTGTCCTGGAGAATGTTCCATCTTTTCATTTTCAACCTGCTTGTGTCTTTAGACCTAAAGTGAGTCTCATATAAGTAATTTATTTTCAATTCATTTGGCCAATCTGTGCCTTTTTTGTTTTAAATATATTTTTATTGATTTCACACAGGAAGGGAGAGGGGGAGAGAAAGAAACATTGATCAGCTGCCTCCTGCACACTCCCTACTGGGGATCGAGCCCGAGACCCAGGCTTGTGCCCTGGCTGGGAATTGAACTGTGACCTCCTGGTTCATAGATCAGTGCTTAACCACTGAACAACACCAGCCGGGCCAATCTGTGCTTTTAAAAAATATATGTTTTTATTGATTTTGTCCTTTGTTTCTTCCATTAGTTTTTTGTTGTTAATCCTCACCCAAGGATATTTTTTCCATTTTTAGAAAGAGTGGAAGGGAGGGAGGGGAAGAGAGAGAAAGATGGAGAGACATCAATTGGTTGCCTCTGCACACCCCCCAAACTGGGCGGGGAATCAAACTTACCTGGAAACATACCCAGGTATGTGCTCTTGACAAGACTCGAACCTGTGGTCCTGCCGTGCGTGGGCCTGAGCTCTAGCCCCTGCACCACACTGGCCAGGGCTCTTCCATTAGTTTTTATTGACTGTTTTTCTTAGGTGACATGTTTGATTTTCCACTTTTCCCCCTTTGTGTATATTTTACATATAGTTATTTTTATCAGTGGTTACTATGGGGATTATGTAACATTCTAAAGTTCTTAGTCTATTTGAGTTTATACCATCTTAACTTCAATTGTATATAAAAACTACTCCTACACAGCTGTTTCTCTATCAACGTTGTTGTTTTTACAGATTACCTCTTAAACATTGTGCACCTGCTAACATAGATTTATAATTTTTTATGCATTTGTCTTTTAAATTCTGTGTATTTACAAAGCAGAATTGCAATGCTGGCTTTGTAATTTGCCCTTTACTGGAGGTTTTTATAGTCCTTTCATTTTAACTTGAAGGACTCCCTTCAGCGTTTCTTGTAGGTCAGGTCTAATTGACAGTGAACTTCCTCAGCTTTTGTTTACCTTATTTTTGGAGGATATTTTCCCTGGATATACTAGTAGAATCCTCGGTTGAGTTTTCATCCCACTGCTTTCTGGTTTCCAAAGTTTCTGCAGAGAAATCAGCTGATAGTCTTATTGAAGACAGGTCACTTCTTACAGCTTTCAAGACTTGTTTTTATTGTTTGTTTGAAAAATAGTTGTAGACCATTTTATTTAAATATATGAACAACCAATGGGCTACTGCAATCCAAGTAAACTCTTCACATTTAGAACCTTTGTGAAGTATAGTAAGATAACGTAAGACTGTTGGTCATTTATAGATTCCTCCTGCCCCCCAGACTGGGACATAGAGATACAGATAAATGTTTATATGGTTAAAGAGCAGAGGCCCAGGTGAAATTCCCCACCCCAAACTGGCTCCCCAACTCAAAAATTACCATTGGCCCCTGAGAACCCCTAAGACCACCCTCCCAGGTTTCACACAATACCAATTGCAGGAACAGTCGTGCATAGCAAAGTATAAGTTCTATGCATTTCACAGCACAGAAAACCCTTCTTTCAGAGGGCATGCAAGTTGCCGGAGATTACACCCCCAAGTCTGGTGCTCTTGTGATGAGCAACTTACTGGCAAACACATCTCCCAGTGTTGTAAGCAGGCAAATGCATTGAGCACATTTTGCTGTAATTCCATCTACTTGTCAAGACTTGGTTTTTGACATTTGTCTCTTGTGTCTTGATGTGGGTCTGAGTTCATTATACTTGGAGCTTCTGGGATTTGGAGATTCATGTCTTTTATCAAATTGGGAAGTTCTTGACAATCATTTCCTCAACTACTCTCTGTCCCTTTCTCTTTTCCTTCGGGGACTCCCATGTGTCCCACAGGTTTCTTAGGCTCTGGTCACTGATTCTTTCTTCTGTCTGTTCAGATCTACCTCTGCCCACATCATTTTCCTGATATCCTGTAGTTATTTGTGTTTTCTTTTAGTTTTTGGAGCATACTTAAGGTATTTAAGTGTTTAGTAGCCCTGGCTGTGGTGGTGTGGCTCAGTTGGTTGAGCATTATCCCATGCACCAAGAGGTGGCTGGTCCGACCGATTTCTGGTCAGGGCACATACCTGGGTTGAAGGATTAATCCTCAGTAGGGAGCATGCAGAAGGCAGCCAATTGATGTTTCTCTCTCTCCCTGTACTTTCCTCTCTCTCCAAAATCAATAAAAACATATTTAAAAATAAATAAAGTCTTTAATAAGTCCACTGTTTGGGCTTCTCTCAGGTGGTTCTGTCAGTATTTGCCTTTGAATAGGCAGTGTGTTCCTGTTTCTTAGTATGCCTTGTAATTTTTATTGAAAAATGGGTCTTTGAAAACAGACACCTCTGCCAGTTAGTTTGCAGACTGGCTCTACGATGGGGCAGATCTTCACCAATATCTGGGCATATTCTGAGTGTAGAGAGCAGCCTGAGGTGCATCTTGCTATTAGGCATGTACATGTCTTTACTTCCTAGAGCAGTGATGGTGAACCTTTTGAGCTCGGCGTATCAGCATTTTGAAAACCCTAACTTAACTCTGGTGCCGTGTCACATATAGAAATTTTTTGATATTTGCAACCACAGTAAAACAAAGATTTATATTTTTGATATTTATTTTATATATTTAAATGCCATTTAACAAAGAAAAATCAACCAAAAAAATGAGTTCGCGTGTCATCTCTGACACGTGTGTCATAGGTTCGCCATCACTGTCCTAGAGTCTTGCCTCGAACTTCTGAGTCTCTAGGCCCCCTGCAGCTTTCATGAGCAGTGCCCACTTTTCCCACCTGAGGTCTGAGGTAGGCAAAACAAAGACCAGTCCTCCGGCAGCCCCCAGCCAGGTTGGAATGTTGCAGATACGGTCGGCCTGCTCCTTGTGACCAGCAGGAGGGTTAGGGGGGGCACAAGACACCTGTGCTACCAGCTTGAAGGTGCTTTTGTCCTTCTGTCCACGTGGTTGCTGTAAACCTGTTTTTCAGAACTCCTCCTAGGTTAGCCCAGCCAGTTTCTGCTTGCTCTTTTGACGTTACAGGGAAACGAGCTTGGAGCTTAGTCTAAGATTTTGCTGACATCACCCAAACTCTCGTGCTCCATTTTTAAAGTTTAAACCAGCCTTTTCCCTGAACGGCCCGTTCTGTGGGTTGTCAATTGTTTCCGCCTGGTCTGCTTTTCCACGTGCCTGCTCTTACACGGGACTCAGCATGTTGCATTTTCCCTTCTAGGGCCTGCGCATCTCTTCAGACTTTCTGGCAAGTGCTTCAGCCTGGTGGAGTCCACGTGAGTGAGGGGAGGGGTGGCAGGGGCGGGGGCTGGGAACACCCCTGACAGCAGCTGTACCCCCAGGTACAAGTACGAGTTCTGCCCATTCCACAACGTGACCCAGCATGAGCAGACCTTCCGCTGGAACGCCTACAGTGGGATCCTCGGGTGAGCTGGGTGTGGGGATGAGTAAGTAGCTACAGGCTGCTTGGTGTGGAGCGCTCCCCAACCCAACCCAAACTTATGCTCTGCTCCTCCTCAGCATCTGGCACGAGTGGGAAATCGCCAATAACACCTTCAGGGGCATGTGGATGAGGGACGGTGACTCCTGCCACTCCCGGAGCCGGCAGAGCAAGGTGGAGCTGTGTAGGGTGTGGCCTGGGGGTGGGGCTGCTTTACCCACTTACCAACCAAGTTTCCCCCCAGGTGGAGCTTACCTGTGGAAAAAGCAACCGATTGGCTCATGTGTCTGAGCCAAGCACCTGTGTCTACGCGCTGACCTTCGAGACGCCCCTTGTCTGCCATCCCCACTCCTTGTTAGGTAGGATGCTGGAGCCCTGGGAGGTGGGGTAGAGGGGCTCAGCTAAGTCTGAGTTCACTTGGATCTTAGTGTACCCAGCCCTGCCTACGGCCCTGCAGCAGAGGTGGGACCAGGTGGAGCAGGACCTGGCTGATGAGCTAATCACTTCCCAGGTGAGGTGCTGCGGTGGGCACCCCCTTGGCTGGGTGCAGCACAGCGAGGAACTTATGAGGAGTTTCCTCTTCATCTGTGACCTGCAGGGCTATGAGAAGTTGCTCAGAGCACTTTTTCAGGATGCTGGCTATTTAAAGACCCCAGAAGAAAGTGAAACCACACAGGAAGGCGGTGCTCAGGGTCTGGTGTTTGAGACCTTGGACAGCTGCAGTAAGGTACAGATTGGGAGGGTGGGAGCCGAGTTCTTTGGACACAGACGGCCTCCCGCCCAGGGGCCTGACGTGCCCTTTGAACTTCTCTGTTTCAGGCACATAAAGAACTATCAAAGGAGATTAAAAGACTTCAAAGTGTGCTGACCCAACATGGCATCCCCTACACTAAGCCTGTGGGTAAGTCGCGCCTGGGGGCCCAAGCCCACCTTGGGACCTGCTGCCTGTGAGCCAGATCCTGACCTGTCACCTCCTGGTGTTTTGGTAGAAACTTCCAGCTCTGAGCACTTGGGCTCCAAGATACCCACAGAAAGAACAGCAGAGCAGCTACTTGGCAGCCCAGGGCTGCTTGGGAACACCTTATGACCTGGGAGGGGGCTGAAGACGGACCAGACTGGCATCCTGTAGCAGGAAGGAGCAGCAGGCCGGGACCCTGGTGCAGAGCGAGAAGGCCCGGGAAAAGCACGCGACAGGCAGGGTGTGCTTCCTCTGTGCCTTCCAGGCCAGTGGCTCTCAGGATTGTACTCAAAGATACGGACAAATAAAGATTCAAAGTTTTAATTCCATACTGATAAAAATAATTCCATGAATTCTGTAAACCATTGCATAAATGTTGTAGTGTAAAAAAATTTAAACAAGTGTTAACAACTTTAAACAGTTCACTAAAGTAAATGATTATGCCTTATAAATACTACCTTCTGGGTTAAGAAAATTCCATTCCAATAACAGTCTCATCTAAATACTCAGAACAAACATACAGATTGGGGGCTTTCATAAATTAGTCCACATGAAGTGTCCACACACTGAGTTGAGGTTTGCTGATCAGCTGCACGAGCAGTATGACAATAATATTACTGCTAATATTGAGCACTAGAGCTGAGACACTGAGCACCACACGGCTTTCCCTGCTACACCCAGCACTCCCCTCCCACCCAGAGGGGATGGTGAGGCCCCTAAGCCCACGAGGCCTGCAAAGGGTGGCTCCCTCATGAGATCAGGGCCCCTGCAGGTGGTGGGGGAGGACCCCAAGGAGCAGCCCCCTGGGGGTGTACCACAATGACAGCCCTAACTGTGCCCGGGCACCCTGGGAGTTCCATTCTGGATGGTTCTTTGGTCTTCCCACCACACATCTATTCTCAGAGCCAGTCCTGACCTGAGAAGGGTAAGTGCTCAGGGGCTGCGCCCGAACACCAGCTGTGGTACCCCTGTGGGCACTACACCTACGGCCCCCAAACTCCACAGAACTGACCGAGTAGCTTATAAATAGACCTAAAGCTTAATTGTTCTTAATTGTTTATAATTGTAAAATGTCTAGGCTAGATATCAGTAATAAACACGGTCCTGTTATCCCCAAAAAGGCCCAAGGCCTAACATGGAAAACAAGTGCATAAATATTAATAAAAAATAATTTTAAACAGTGATAACAGTAGCACAAAATATACGTAATTTCTAAGACCTAATAAATCATTATCACTATAATTAAAAACAGGATTTATTAAAACCAAGTCAATAGTTAACCTTTAGTAGCACACTAGCTGTGGAATGTCATGGATCCACCTTTAAAATGATAACTGTTTATCAGTTTCTTATGTTAAAAATGTTTTAAACTTATTATAGTAAATACATTCTAATTTGGTCACTGATAAAAATTTTTACCTAGTCACTTTGCACTTTAAAAATGCTATTAAAATTCTTTGGCAAAGCCCCAGGCAAGTAGAAACACAAGTGTTCACTTCCAGGCTGGAGGGGCCAGTACCTGCTCCCGCCTCCCAAATGGCAGGTTCTGCGAAGATTTCCTCACAGCCATCGAGATTGGCCTCACTGAGCAAAGTTGGGGTAAACTACAGACATCTTTTACTTCCTCCCAGATTTCTAGAAAAAAATGACCCATTGTAGACCAGAGAAGACAGGTCATCACTAAATCAGACCCGTTCTCGGGCGTTTCCTCCATGGACCTGAAGCCAGGCTGCTACGTGGGGGCCCGGGGACCAGCATTAGAGCCAGGTCCTCAGGGCAGCCCCTGCCCGGGCACAGCGCCAGGTCTTCACGATGACTGACAATACCTAGACACACAGTTCAGACAACAGTGTCCAAAGTGTCGCCTGAAGTCTAATGTGAAGACGGGCGAGCCTGCCCACTCTGGCAGGAGTCCAGGTGGTCCCAGGTGTGGGGAGTGCCCAGGGGCCAGCTCCAGGAAGCTATGCAAAGTGGCTTGTAAAACAGATGTACCCCTTGGTTGCACTTTTCACTAGTATCAAATTGTCTTACAAAGTTTCAAGGGAGAAAATAAAACCAAGTGAACCATTCTCCTTTTGCAAGGCACAGGCACTTAGAAAAAGTGGCCACGGGTCATAGATGCGTAATTGAGCTCCCTCACTTTGCACGGTGTTGGGAAATAAAACTCCAATTAGTGTGCACGAGCACATGGTTAGGAACAGTTCCTTTCATAAAATTAAAAACATCTAAATGTATGTCTTTCAATAATCACTCTGCTATAAATACTATTTGCACTTAATTTAAAACCTATAAAAATCCTAGGCATTTCTCACTACTAGATAAATGCTCATTTCATAAGTACTAATTTCAGAATATGAAATCTAATATATTTACCATACTATGAATTACAATAAACTGATAGGAAATACTTTAAGTTCACAGTACACATACAAAGCTTCATATGGCATATTAAAAAGACATGAACCTAGAAAGCAGCTTATAGCAGCTGAGACCGTCCACGTAAATTCCTCTGCTTACAAAGTGCTTGGCCGGGACGTGAACTCCCAGGATGTGGTCACAGTAGTGTCAGGACCGCAAACCCCATGTCATTACTGTGCCCACCCGAAACCTGGGCTGCAGGTGGGTGCGGTGGGTTTGCCTTTAAGGTCTACGAGAATACCATGAAACGATGCAGCTGGGCTGGGGTCCCGACGTCGGTGGCACCAGGAAGTGAGGCCACCATGGCTGCTGTCACCACTGGAGGGGCTGGCCCTCGCAGTAGGGGCACTCAGGCGCACTGGCCACACAGGGCTCGCAGAGCACACGGTGCTGGCAGGGCTGCAGGACGGCGCCGCGGGCCGGCTCTCCGCACACCACGCACTGCTTCGCTCTGAGCTGGAAGATCACCTGCAGGTGAGAAGTTGGCGGGTCACAGAAAGCCCCTTCCCACCACTGGCCCCCAGAGGTGATCGAGAGCACGTGAAAATAATGGCTAGCGCAGGAAGGCTCAGGACTAGGGTGGGACACCCGTGCCAGGGGTCACCCCAGGAACGCAGAGATGGAGGTAGAGCTGCTTTTCCACAAGACCTTTAAGTGGAAGACTGGCTCCTGGGGTCTAAGCCTGCGTGGGAAGGAAAGGCCAGGATGGAGGCCCGTGACCTGTGGCTGGTGGGTCCAGATTCGGGCTCAGTGGAACCCTGACCCGAGACCCAGCCCTCTAACCAGGGAAGAGCCACAGCCCGCAGACAGTGCCTCGGAGGTGAAGCGATCAGGTATGTGCACTGCAGCCAGACCCTGGTCACAGTCAGCAGAGGAGGAGGAGAGTGTCAAGAGGCAGGGCTTTAGAACCTTCCAGATGCTCTGAGTTCTAACAAAATGTCATGGTGTGGAAGAAGTTTCAGCTGAGCTGAACACCAGGTTTTTGCTACTCCAGAAAAAATAATGAAATCGGGGAAAGAGATGATCAGTGACATGCCTCAAGCATACACCATGGTTCCAACTGTTTGGGGCAAGAGGGGCATGATTCTATCCATGAGGGCACAGGAGCGGGCTAACGTGGAAGATTCCAGAAAGGAAGGGAGGGCCAGACTGGCAGGAGAGGTGGTGCACACGCTCCTGGGAGCAGAGCGTGAGCTGCCATCTGAGGAGCCGATGAGAGAAGGACCGCACGGGAGGAAGAGGAGTGGAAGGCCAGGTTCCAGCCATCACCTGTCCCACACACGGCCAGGGGCAGACATCGGGTACCTTGGAAGCCGAAACCAGGACTCACCCCGTCCACCGCCTCCAGATCCAGGCGTAGCTGACTCTGCAGCGACTGTAGCTTGGGCAGTGAGATGGCACCGATGTCGCTGCAGCCCCGCAGCCCCGGGAGTGTGGACATGCCCCGGCCTTCCAGCTCCTCCTGCAGCTGCCTGAACTGGGCCTCCACCTCCTCCTTCTTCTGCAGTGCCAGCTGCCGGGCACTGTCCGCTGCCAGCGCACGCTCCTTCGCCTCCTTGGCCTCCCGCTGCCATGCGTCACAGGCCTGAAACCCAGGGGGCTGTAGTGGCTGGCACGGGGCAGGGGGCACCCTGCATACACACTGGTCTCCCCTGAGCTTGGCACCTCCCCAGACTCACCTGCTTCACTTGCTGCCAGGACTCCTCCCACTGCCTGATCTTCCTCTTGGCCTCGTCCAGCTGCCGCCTGACCCGTGCCAGTTCGGCGCCATTTGGACTTGCACTTGCAGTGGATGTGGGGCCGGCATTCAGAATGGGGGACGGGCTGGGAGAGAAGCTGCCGGAAACAAAGTCCCAGATGCTCCCAGGGACGCCATTCAAACCTGAGTGTGGAGGAGACAGATGTCAGCCCCAGGCGTGCTGAGACTTGACAGACACCCAGGCAGGACCTGGGACCTCTGGGGCTCCACAGACAAGGCTGCTGCCCCTGCCCTTCCAGCCAGGCCCCCCTCCAGCCACCTGTGGGGTTTAAACAGAGAGAAATGAATTCAAAGTTTCTGTGACTGCAGCCTGTGGAGCAGGACTTCACAAACTCTGGTCCCAGGAATCCTTGACACATGTAGGGTCCTGAGGCTCCAGAGAGCTTGGGTTTAAAGAGCTCCCACAATAGACAACGTGACACTTGTTGACAGAGTCGCGTGTCACTTAACAACAGGGGAAACTTTGAGAAATGCACCGTCAGGCAATTTCGTTGCTGTGCCAATAACACGGAGTGCACTCACACAACCCGAAATGGTGTCGTGTAGCCCACTGAACACCTGGGCCGTCGGTACAGCCTATTGCTCCCAGGCTACAGGCCTGTACCGCGTGTTACCGTACGGAATACTGTAGGAAACGGTAACACAATGGTAAGTTTTTGTGTATCTAAACAGAAGATACAGTAGAAGTACAGTATAAAAGGTGAACAATGGCACACCTTCTGGAGGGCACTTAGTACTGAGCTTGCAAGCCTGGCAGCAGTTGCTCCGGGAGAGTGAGTGGTGAGTGAATGAGGCCCAGGTTATTGCTGCCACTACCGCAGACTTCATAGACACTGTCCCACACCCGCCCCCCGACGGGTCAGAAACAACAATGAAGCTGTCAGTGCTGCTCCCTGGACAGATGTGGGCTGGACCGACTGGAAGTACAAGGAGAGACTGTTTGGGTGAGGCCAGATCACAACAGCGACTGCCAGGAGGGAGTGAGGATTAGTCAGAATAAAAGTGAAGCCGGAGAGAGAAAGGAACATGCACTGTCGTGGCCATGTGGTTTTGGCTACTGCATGCTGGAGCAGTGGTCCGATTAAAGAACCCTGTGGTTTTCATTAAAAAAGGGGGTGTTTAACATGGAGAGGGGGTAGAATTGAGGACTCAGTATTTCGACTTTGGGAATTTGGTTCTATTGACTCAACTGGCATAAAGGGCTCTCACTGGCACTGAATTAATGGAAGAAAAACCTTATCTATGCTTTACAGCATTACAACCTGAAAATATTTCCAAAGTACAGGGACAGGCTGGCTCCACACCACCACAGAAACCATCTTCTAAAGTGGCTGCGTGGCCGGCGTGGCTGTGGTTGAGCATCAACCTATGAACCAGGAGGTCACAGTTCGATTCCCGGTCAGGGGCACATGCTCAGGCTGCAGGCTCCATCCTCAGTGGGGGGATGTGCAGGAGGCAGCCGATCAATGATTCCCTCTCATCACTGATGTTTCTATCTCTCCCTCTTCCTTCCTCTCTGAAATCAATACAAATATATTTGAAAAAACAAAAAAAAAGTGGCAGTGGCACTCAGTCCTTTTTAAGCCCCTCCTGTGGACCGGACAGGAGCTGAGGTCCTCAACAAACAATGTACAGCGATTACCCTGCAAGGGCGGGGCGCCCTCTGTGCTGACACAGGCCGGTGACTAACCGACTCTAAACGGAGGCGCTGAGAGGGGAAACCTGCTGCCAAGCTCCACATGTACTGCTCCCACCAGAGAAGACAGCTCCCTCCTGAACCACAGAGCCTCCCATTTCTCCATTAGAACCCCAAGGACCACCGTCACATATGCCGTCTGTTGACCACAGTCGTTAGGTGGTGCATGACCAGTTGGGAATTAAAGAGATATTTAAAAATACTAATTCTTTTAAAGTATAACAGGTTACATAAAACAAACAACACTTTTCAATGAAAGGATAATGTAAAACAAGAAATGGCACTGTTCCCTGTTTTTGCAAATCCGCCTGCTCCTGTGTTGGGTCTCTGGTGCGTCGCCCCTGCACAGCCTCAGAAGCTCCACTGCACGCGTGAGTGCGCACGGCAGGTCGAGCTGCAGTGCTGCCACACCATGGCCAGGGCACAGAGACCCTGACAGAGGCAGACAAGCGAATCCGGGTCCGAGCCCCAGGGCACCACCGGCCAAGCAGCAGACGTGTGGACAAGGGGTCGCCTGGGACATATGCCAAGGCCCACACCACAGGGAGTGTGCAGGGCAGCACGGTGGAGCCTTAAATGAGAGGGCAACCAAGTGGGGACATCCACCCGCGCCTCGGTTTGTTCAGCAGTAAACTGTCACTATAGGGTAGCCCCTCCCCCACAAGCCCCAGCTCACCTAGGGAGTTGTAGGACGAGGCCGAGGAGCCCAGCACCCTGGGCTCCGACTTGAGGGGTGGCGGCTGCTGGGGGGGCGTCATGGCCGAGGAGACAAGAGGCCCCGACAAGGACTGGGAGAGCGAGCTGAGCGGGGAGGTGGACAGGGATGACGAGGATTGCAGGGATGGGGAGCGGGCCAGGCAGCCAGGAATGGTGACGGGCTCTGAGCCCCCCAGCGACCTCTGACCTGTGCAGAGTGGAGGGGCCGGGTTAGTGAGAGGCAGCAGCAGACCTCTGCCCAGGAAACAGCACAGCATTGCCTCTGAGCTGGGGTGCAGCAGCCAGGGCGAGGGGGCACGGGGTGGGGGTGCTGGGGGTCCCAGGCCTGCAGCGACCATGTGGTGGTGCAGACACAGATGTGTCTATAGCTCCCAACCACTCAGACAAGTGGCAAGTGCACAGGACAAGGGTTTCAGCAGGGATCCCACAGAGACAGACACCCACTAGGACCCCACAGCCAACGTACCCACTGGCATGGTGGTCCCAGGACTTTTAGGGCCCCCAGAAACATTAATGTGTTTTAACATCAGAAGAAAAAGATAAGCCCGTCTGATGTGGCTCAGTGGCTGAGCATCGACCTATGAACCAGGAGGTCACAGGTCCATTCCTGTGAGGACACATGCCCGGGTTGTGGGCTCGATCCCCACTAGGGGGTGTGCAGGACGCAGCCGATCAATGATTCTCATCATCGATGTTTCTACCTCTCTCCCCCTTCCTCTCTGAAATCAATAAAAAACATATTTTTAAAAAGCAGAAGAAAAAGATGAGCTTTTAGGCCAAAGAAAATGATTCAGTATGTGTTTATATCCGTCTTCGTGCCAATGCAGTGGTTAAACATTTCGGAAGGCTGTGAAGGCTGGCCGTCCGTGGCCCCCATTCTGCACACCCCACCTCCATCCATCTCTGCAGGGGCCACTTTGCTCAGATGGAGGCAAACCGAGGACATGTGAGGCTGATCCTGCCGGGGCTGCAGGGTCCTGGAGGAGGGGGATGGGACCTCTCCCACCCTAGGACCATTTAAGGATTCTTGAAAGGAAAGGCCCAGCCAGCCCCAGGCACCCTGATAAGAGTGCCAGGTGTCATCGTTCTTACCTGCGGGTCCCAGGTCACTTCCGTCCTGCTCGTCCAGCTCCTTATCCAGGGGAGCGAGGCTTACATCACTAAGATGGAGATCTAAGGCAGAACCTGTCCAACAAGACACCTGTTATTGCTCAGAAACACTCAGCTGCAGCAGGGAGGATGCCTGGCTCTCCAGGGAGCAGGGACAGGGAACACACCCCTGCCCGCCTTCCACAGCTGGACTCTCTCTCTCCTCCTGCACAGCCAGAGCCTCCAGGCGTCCCACGTGTGGGCCCTGAAGCACGGCCTCACCTCACTGAAGTCAGCTTCCACGTTTAGATTTCACGGGACGACATTTGACCAAGTAAACACACTTAACTAGTAAACGAAAATTCCAAGAGGGTGCTATCCACGGGAAAGCGGTTCACAGTCCACGGTGTGAGGCTGCATCGCACTAACACAGGGACCACCGACGCCTGCACCAGGGCCACAGCAGGGTGACCCGCATCCTGTTCTCCCACCCTAACACTGAGCGGGTCCCTCCCATTCCCTCTGTTCACCGAGGACACCATACACCCCAGGCACGTCTGCTCAACAAAACGGGAATGAACGGTGGGGCCCTCAGAGCTGCCCCGCCCCCAAAAGCTTTCCTCAGAAACCTGCAGGCAGGACGGAGGGAGCAGCACTACTCGGCACACGAGCAGGAAGCTGTCTTTGGGTGGCCGAGGTCAGGCCAACCAGCCCCCTAAGCCGGAGCATGACTCAGGAGTCTCTGGGGTCCCACAGGATCAGCTCAGGGAAGGTGTGGCCCCAAGACCCTTGGGAAATGCCCAGGGGAGGGGCAGCAGGCAGAAAAACCCTGGGACACACCCCGTGAGCCAGAGCAGCCTTCCCACCCCAAAGTCAGGTCTCATCTACAGGAGAGCGTGGTGGCATCGAAGGCACAGCACGCAGGAGTTCTGCCAGTGAGCACCTCTCTCCCTCCACCCCCCACCTCTGGGGACCCACTCGCTCCCCCATAGCAGCCCCTCCCAGAAGTGGGCCTCTCCTATGTAGCTGAGCCCTGTCCCCCCTGGTGGCTGAGGGTCCCCTAAGTCCCCCATGATGTCTGGTCAGATGCACCAGGTCTCGTTTCAAGAGGCCACAAAGTCACCCTACCCTGCCCCCAGGACAGACATCTCCACAGCCCAGGGACACACCACGGGGACCCTGGTCAGACCTGCTTCTCTGGGTGAGCGAATTGGGCTTCTGGAAGCTCCTGCCTCCGCCCTGCCCCCAGCTGCCTGGTGCCAAGTGTCACAGAGTCCCCTGGGCCACGTCCTATAAGCAACATCAGGTTAAAGCTGCCCAAGGAGAGGAGCCACTGTCCAGTTCCGATCATGCCCCGCACTTAGCTTTGCCCAGACTACAGGCCACGTCAGAGGCACAGCCATGTCTCCTGCACAGGGTCATGCAGGAAGCAGCTGGAGCCCAGGCTGCAGGAGGAGCTGCTGGGCTGGGTGGTTCAAACAACTGCATTCAAATATAAGAGTCAAGCAAAGTGCGACTCAAGGGACAGGGGAACCTGCCTACGCTGGGGAGGGGGCTGCTGCCTTTTTAAATGAGATGCATTTACTGTCATCAGCAGGAGATATGGGACAAGAGATGTGTGACTTCCAAAGAATGTAAGTCCTCAGCACAAGCAAATCTATGGGGAGCCCGCTGTGGTGCACATATAGAGCAGACGCGGGGTCCAGCCCAGACAGGCATCCCCAGCTACACTGTCCTCAGCCGCTGGGGGGACTAGGTGAGTTGACCACAAGAGGGCTCCTAGCCGATGAGCGGTGCTCAGTCTCTGTGGTGTGAGGTCTGTTGCGCACACTGACAGGTAGGGGGCCTCGTGTCCAGAATGCAAGGGAGCAGCACTGCCTGGCGAGGCCCAGGGCCTGCATCTGTCTCCTTGTGTCATCACTGCTGTGTCATCACAACGTGGCCTGCTTGGGAACCAGGGCCCAGAGCAGAGAGTGAAGACCATGCTCCACTGACCAGAGAGGGTGTTGGGGGATCACTCTGTGCGCCCCCCCCCCCAACCCCAGCATCAGAGCATCCCAGCCAAGCTACCAAGTCACCTGGAGAACACTGTGCTCACCCCCCCCCCCCCCCCCCCCCCCCCCCCCCCACACACACACAGTTATCTGTCACCAGGAGCAGTGGGAGGTACCAAGGCCATGCCCACTCCCAAGGAGAACTACTGACACAAGGTGTTAAAGACTTTGAAGGTCTTATCTGGAAAAGTGGGGTTCTATTGCCACCCCCAAGAATCCCTAGATTCCATCTGTGAGAGGCGGGAAGGTGCTGGGAAGGTGCTGAGCTGGAGACACTGACCCTGCAGATGCCTAACTGTGCAAGGACGACAGTGGGGGCAGCAGACAGCAGGCCCCAGGCTGGCAGCACCTCAAGCTCTTTTGTCCCTGAGAAGGTGATGGAAAGACAATGAACATTCCTCACTGTGGCCTCCTGAATGTGCCAACAGCAGCTCAGCTGGACCAGCTCCTCCAGCAGGTTCCCCTGATGCACCCCACGGCACAGCCAGGCAATGTGGAGACAGCCTGACACCACAGTCCAGACCTCAGGAAGACCTTGAGGCAGGGACCCACAGGGGCAGCGCCGACCTCTGCCCTGCAGTCTCCCACCGTGGGTTCCCTCTCCCCGTCAGCTGTGCTGCTCAAGCCCTTCTCTGCAGACAGTTCCTCCCTCTCCACAGGCAGCTTCTTCATAACATCCAGGGCCCCAGGAGCCTCTGTGTCTGGGAGCTGCTGAAACCAAGCACCACAGGCCGGGCAGCTTCAAACACCACAAATCCATCCTCCCAACTCTGCAGCCAGAAGTTGAGATCAGGGTGCACAGGGCTGCATTCCCTCTGGAGGCTCCATCTGCCTCTTCCAGCTTCAGCTTCGGCAGCAACCCTTGGCCTTCCTTGGCTGGTGGGTGCATCACCCTGTCTCTGCCTCCATCATCACATGGCTGGCTCTCCTCTGTTCTGTGTCCAAATCTCCTCCCTCTTTTAAGGACAGCAGTCATCTTGGATTAGGGCTCATGTTAATGACCTCATTTTACCTATTTGGCAAAGACCATTTCCAAATAAGGTCATGTTCCCAGGTCAGTGGCAGGGGGTAAGACTGAGGCATATCTTTTTGGAAAACATAATTCAACCCACAACAAAGGAGATTACCTGGGGACATGCCCACCTGATCCATCCCCTCCAGGCTGTGCTCTGGTGCTTGAATGGGCACCTCCCACAGACCCGGAGCCCAGACCTCCTGGGATTCCTCCACAGACCTGTCCTGTTGCTGCGAATTCCAGTCTCTCGTTGGCACCTACTCCCCAGGACACTATAGCCCTGCAGGCTCTGCAGCATCTCACACAAGCCTGTCTCTGTTGGCCACCCCCCTCCTCCTTGCCATCCTCAGTTTCCAATTCACTTTTCAAACTGTCGCCCAGGCCTTGCCCTCCGGTCCTGTGCCCCAAAACCTCTCTGGTCAAATGCAGCCCCTGCCTGCTGCCAGTCCCTCTCCACCCTCCTCTGCCAGGGGCAACTTCTTAGCCCTTCTACTCTCCTCGGGAGGGAGCTCAGCAGCCCTTCCAGGTCCAGACACACATGGTTTCTGCAGTCCTCACAGCTAGATGCCCCAGATGGCCCTCAGTACAGCTGCACTTCCTCCTCCATCTGCACACAGGTGCCTCCCTCAAACTGGTGCACCTGGGATCACTCACTGAACAGGAGCCCTGTGGGAACCCTTAGCTCCTCCTCCTCCCTCAGCACACATCAGTTAGGCCCCACACTCCAGCCATTTCTCCAGGCTGCCCTGCCCCTTCACCCTGACCTGAATTGTCTCAAGAGTGGCCTTGGCCTTAGCTAAGCCTGCCTCCCAAAAAAGAATGCGCCACCTTGGCATGCACTTCCCGGCTGGACTCTGCCCCATCCTGGTCCTGCCAAAGCAGCCTTTCCACCCCAAAATGGTTCCTCTTTTGTCCTCAAGCCGTGACACTGCTGCCATAGGCTGCGGCTTCCATTAGCCCCACTAGTCCTGGGAGAACTCCTGCTCAGCCTCCAAAACCCTCTTAGAATCTCCCCCTGCTCCATTCCTGCACGTCAGCCTAGACTGTATGAGTGCACCCAAACCAGTGCTGACTGATGTGCGGACTCATCTTCTAAGAGCACTGACCCCCCACCCCCCACCCAACCCTTTCACTCTGCCCTGCCTCCTCCATCTCTCCAGGCTCTGCCTGGGGCTCTGAACGTGCGGGTTAGTTGGGCCTGAAAACATGGACTCAGCCCTCAGCACCTGCAGTCCTAGGATCAGGTTAGAGAAGGTCAGCTTCAAAGCCAACAGAGTTCCAGAAGCACCGTTTGAATAACACAGGCACAAAAGGGGGAGGCAAACTTGACTGCTGGAGCCTTTGCTCTCCTGGAGGCGATTTATTTCCCGATGCTCCTCCAACCCCACCCCATGACTCGGCACCTAAGTGCACCCCTGCTGCCCCCTCGGGTGCAGAGGGGCATCAGAGGGGCCAAGCCTGGCAAACCACAGCCTGCTTTCAGCTTACAAGGCAGACCAGGCTCCCAGGATGTGTCCTGGCCCACTTTCTCACCAGCAGTACTTTCATCCTACCACACCTTGCTGCTCCCTGAGCGCAGACCCAGTCTCCCAAAATAAAGGAAGAACTGACTATTAAAAAGGCCTCCACACTCAAAATGCAGATGAACCCACCTACATACATAAATTGTGCCATCTGACCCAGAACCGGCCTTGCCAAGATCCAGGGACCTCCCCGATGGTAATGAGAAATTAGCTGAAAGCTGCTGAGTAATGGCTCTGGCAGAGCCCCGTTCCTGACGTGACACAGCACATTGGAGACGCGCCGCGGTCCCAGGGTCAGGGGACTCACGGGGACAACGCACACCGTGCACAGAATCAAAGGCCAAACTGGGGGACCCGCGGCCCGGGGAGCTCCCCGCACCCACCCGGTCCGCGCCGTCCGCCCCCAACTACAAGACAGACAAGCACCCGGCACACCTGCTACTCGCGGGTCTCCCTTTCCGATAGGGTAGGCGCGGGCGACGATTCGCGGATGAGACGGGAAACCGTTCTCTCCCGGGAGCAAGACGCCCACCTCCGCTCGGTGATGAAGGCTCCGCCGAGCAGCCTGGCGGCGGGCGCCCACGCAGGGCCCCGCGGGCCCCTCTGCAGAGCAGCTCCTCAGGCGGGCAGATCGCCTTCCCCTCACGCCGCAGCCCCTAGGAAAGCGGGTGCCCACCCCTGCTCTCCCACCGGGCGCGGGCACCGAGGACCAGAGCAAGTATCGGGAGGGGAGGGCAAGGCACACCTGAGGGGCAAGGTGCGCGGAGGAGAGGTGGGGAGACGCACCTCACCTGGGGTGTTGGCGCGCGGAGGGGGCGCACCACACCTGAGGGGGGCGCACGGTGCGCTCCGCAGCTTCGCCTAACGACGACCCGCTCCCGGAGGACACAGGGCTGCGGATGCTGAT